GGGCTGGGGATTTAGCTCAGCGGCAAAGTGCCTGCCTGGCAAGCGCAAAGTCGTGAGTTCGATTCCTGGTACTGGAAGAAAAACAAACAAACCAAAAAAAGCCATCACATCACAGCGATATACGTACACCCATGTTTATAGCAGCACAATTTGTAATAGCTAAATCTTGGAAACAGGCCAAATGCCCATCAATTGAGGAATGGATAAAAAAGATGTGGCTTTTTTATATAATGGAGTACTTACTCAGCCATAAAGAAGGATAAACTGGAGACTTTATAGGTAAATGGATGCAACTCAAGACTATACTCATAAGTGAAATAAATCAGATCCACATGTATAAACATCATATTGTCTCACTAGTGTGAAAAACTGAATGAGAATATAAGATCCAAAATGTTCCAGAGATATTGTGAATTGGGAAGAAACTGTTCAAAAGAAAAGACAAACTATAATGGGGGAAAGGGGAAAAAAAGAAAGAGAAAAAAGAAAAAATATATTTATGCACAAGATAGTTAAGTTAGTTATACAGCTAGTTTCTCCTAGTTCACTGAAAAAAAAAGGTTTGTGCTAACATTGTTTGGACAAGATATAATGCCTATATCTCATAAAACTACTATCTCAAAAAACTACTAGTTCTCAAAAAACTACTATATCTCTGAAAAACTACTATCATGACAACAATATGCAATGTATTAATTATTGTAACTCTCATACTAACCTGTTTTAAAACTGTTTTGCTGTGGTTTTTTCCTCTTTAAAATTAAAAAAAAAAAAAATACAGTGGAAAAGCCCAACAGAACTTTAGCCAGCTGATCAATGTCAATAACAAAGCGTCACAAATCAAGTTGATAGTATATATCTTTAATATGATCTGATGACAATGGCACTTTACCTCTGTGACTTTATGCCACAAAACACATAACCCCAGTCTCTTTGTGAAAAAAATCAGACAAATTCAAATAGAGGAGAATCCTACAATATATCTGACTAGCACGCCTCAAAGCTATCAAGGTCATCAAAGTCAAGAAAAGTGGGAAAAACCACCCAACCCAAAAGGAACTTAATGTCACACAACAACTGAATGTAATATGGTATTCCAAATGAAACCTTAGAACCCAAAACAGGACATTAGAGAAAAACTAAGAAAATCTTAATCAAATACATATTTCAGTTACTATCAATATATCAATATTCTTTCAGCAATTAAAACAAATTTATCATACTAAACAGGTAAATTATTAATAAAGGAAACTAAGGGTGAGGTCTGCTGGGATTCTCTTTACTATCGTAACTTCTCTGTAATTCTAAAATTATGATAAAAATTCACCCATCTACTAAACAGTTTTTAAGACAAAATGAACAGATCATTACAACCAGAGCATATGTGATGCTGGTGAATGACAGAGGAGATATTACAGATTTATGGGAAAAGAATGGAATACTGAGTAAGTGATTTTCAGGCAACTCATAAGCCATGCAGGAAAACAAAATTAGGTAAGATTAGATTTGATCACTACCTCCCTCCACATACAAATTGTAGTTAGGTTAAAATTCCAAGTGTATAAAAACAAATTTCCAAAACTATTAGAAGAAATCTTCAGAGAATATCTCTATCATCTTGAGATAAGAAAAGTCTGCTTAAGCAAAAGAAAAAAATGTAATAATCAAAGACTGATCTATGTAAAAGTTTTCAGCTCTGTAACATAGAAAAAATTATTTAAAGAGGGGAGGACAGATGGCTGATCAAAGGAAATGGTGTTCAACCTATAAGGCCCAAAGAATTAATATACAAAATAACAAATGAAGAAATCTGGGAAATAAATTAGAAATGAGAAACAATACCTGGGGAAGGGATATGAACAGATAATCACAGAGGAATGAATGGTCATTAAACAAATGGAAATATTCCCTCTCCCTCTCTCTCTCTCTGTCTCACTCCCTGTCTGTCTGGCTGTCTCTGTCTCTCTGTCTCTCT